GGAATCGACCCTATCCAGTGCTCAAGTGCTCAAGGACAGAAGGGTTGCACACAAGTATATACTCTCCAGTGGCTTGAGATGAGCTATCATCCAGTGGATCATCGGTCTTGCCACACAGCAGCTGGTTGACCCCCCTCAAGCCCTCACACCCAGCCGGTGCCTCCTCGGCCTCGTTGGTGTGCTCAAACCAAGATGCAAGAAACCCCACTCGCTGCAAAGTTGGAGACGTGTCCATTATGCAGAGAGACGCATAGTTGTCAGATACAAGAATGTGTGGCACATGACTGTAAGATTTCTTTGCATTTGAGATGTAAGCACAGTGTCCTGTCACCTGTGGGGGCATGCTGGAGTTCATAAATGCCGCACAAATATCGACACTCACAGCCGGCACATCGCTGACATCTACCGACGCACATCTAACGCACATCCCAGGGAGCAAATCAAAATATCCCATCCAAAACAATCAAAAATCCCAAATACCACTTTCACATACCACTTCCCAATACCACTCAAAAAGAATCAAAACATGTTCAAATACCAGTATGATACCGGGAATCATCACACTGACGCCTACACGACAAAACGCTTGTTCATGAAGCGCGCGTACGTAGCCGAGCGTGATGGTGGCGAGGTCGGCCGCGTCCTGCGCCGCCGTGTGCCGCGCGGGGCGGCCGAGGAAGACAGGGCAGAGGAAGTCCATCGCCCACGAGACCACTCCTTGGTGTGCGGACGCTTCGCGGGTGAATTTCTTTTTCTGCGATGTGCACCCCAGCGTCGCCTCGCCGCTACCCCCCACCACGCCCTCGCCCGACACGCCCCCGCCCACCCGCCTCCTCGACCTCCCCACCGACCTCCTCGTGCGCGTCGTGTCTCGCTGCGACCCCCTCGACATCGCTCGCGTCGCGGCCGTCTCGCTCCTCTTCCACGCCTCGCTTGCGGTGGAGGGCATCCGCTTGCGGGCGCAAGAGCGCGGCTACGAGCTGCCGGCGCAGCCAGAGGGCGAGGGCTGCGCCGTGCGGTGGCTGTGCTATTCGGCGTTGCTGTGCGAGTCCAACCCGCTGGCGAGGGCGGCGGCAGGCCAGTCTCACAGCCTCTTCATCGACGGTGAGGGGCGGCTCTCGTCGTGCGGCAGTAAGGCAGGCTACCCAGGGCTGCTCGGCCACGGCGAGGGCGTGACGCGGCTCAACACGCCGACCCGCCTCCTGTCGACGCTGGGTGGCGAGCGCGTCGTGAGCGTGTCGGTTGGAACAGCGCACAACCTCGCCCTCACCGGCAGCGGCGCCGTCTGGAGCTGGGGCTATGGAGGCTGGGGACGGTTGGGCCACGGCGACGAGCAGAACCAGCTGCTGCCCAAGAAGATCGAGGCCTTTGCTGGCCAGCGCGTCGTCGCTGTGTCGGCGGGAGTCAAACATAGCTTCGCAATCATCGCCGACGGCGCTGTCTGGAGCTGGGGCTATGGAGGCTGGGGCCAGTTGGGCCACGGCGACAAGCAGGACCAGCTGCTGCCCAAGAAGGTCGAGGCCTTCGCTGGCCAGCGCGTCGTCGCTGTGTCGGCTGGCCACAGCCACAGCCTCACCCTCACGGCCGATGGCGCCGTCTGGAGCTGGGGCAGTGGAGGGCAAGGCCGGTTGGGCCACGGCGACCAGCAGAACCAGCTGCTGCCGAAGCAGGTTGAGGCCTTGACTGGGCGGCGCATCGTCGCTGTGTCAGCTGGAGACCTTCATAGCTTCGCCATCACCGCCGACGGCGCCGTCTGGAGCTGGGGCACTGGAGGCTATGGCCAGTTGGGCCACGGCGACCAGCGGAGCCAGCTGCTGCCGAAGAAGGTCGAGGCGTTGGCTGGGCAGCGCGTTGTCGCTGTGTTGGCTGGATTTCTTTACAGCCTCGCCCTCGCCGCCGACGGGGGCGTCTGGAGCTGGGGCAATGGAGGCGACGGCCAGCTGGGCCACGGCAACGAGCAGCAGCAGCTGCTGCCCAAGAAGATCGAGGCCTTTGCTGGTCGGCGCGTCGTCGCCGTGTCGGCTGGAGTCGGGCACTGCCTCGCCCTCACCGCTGACGGCGGTGTCTGGAGCTGGGGCGGCGGGTTCTACGGCCAGCTGGGCCACGGCGACCGAGAGCACCAGTTCGCGCCCAAGAAGGTCGAGGTGTGGGCGAGCCGGCCGCCGACGCCTACTTCCTCTGACGGAGAGGGCAGCAGCGGCGGGGAGGACAGTGATTAGGGTAGCAACTCGGACGAGTGGGAATGCCAGAGGGCAGCAGAGGAGGGCGAGTCGTCTTTCTTTCGGCTGGCCTAGTCACCCACTGGGCACACTGTGTCTTGACTCTCTACGCTGTGGGCTGGCGTGGCAAGCGGGCTGGGCCACACACCATGACGGTTGGCGTACACATCATGACGGTTGGCCGCGCCCCCCCTGTCGCCCCCCCCAGCACTCCAAGGTGCCAAGGGAACAAACAACAGAACAACAACACAACAGGCGACACAGGGGCGAACGCGGCGTGAGGCGGGCTCGTCCCACTTCGACCAGTCCGAGGGCGAGGCCGACGGCGCGTCCGCCTTTGGCGAGTCGGAGGTCTCTGACGGTGGGGCGTCCGAAGTGTCCGAGCTCACGTTTGGAGCGCCTTCAGAGGGCGGCTTCTGCGACGCGTCCCGCCCGTGTGTGGGGAGTGTGGCATGTTCTGTACCCGAAGAAACGCGAAACCGAAATGGGTCTGAGTGTATATCTCTTGCGAGTCTTGTCCGCGACAGACGCCGCGAGACGTACCCACGAAGATTTTTTAACGAATTCAGTCAGTCAGTCTTACACACCTCCAAGCATGGAGGACGGGCCCACACGCACACACACGCTGCACACGATTGGCTCGGGAGCCGACACGAGGCACGCTGTCACCGGCCGTAGCACTGGGTCCGGACTGCTGGACACACAGCACACAGCTCACAGAACAGCTCACGAGGTGGCGCTGTATAGTGGGGTTCTCAGGGACCGACACAGGAGAAGAAGGTGGGGCACAGGGACAGGACACAGGACTCACGAACTGATATCCCAACCCGCGCCGGGGGCGGTGGCGCGCGCGAGCGCCGGGGTGTTTGGACCCGCAGTCTGGCAGGCGCCAGGCCACAGATCCGCCGGCAGAGCCTTCAAGCCGCATCCGCGATCCGCGCCGGCTCTCAGAAGAGATCCAGCGCGGTGCTGACCGCGTCCTCGCAGCGGACCACCGAGTTCACGATGATGTCCGAGGAGAAGCGGTGCAGCTGCGGCACGATGCGGTAGTCGCACAATGCCGCATTGCGGTTTGCGGCACTCCTGCTGCAACGCGCGCGCGGCGGTGAGGAGAGCGCGAGCCCTTGAGCTGCTGGAGTCAGTCCATCGCCCGCGCATGCGCGCTGGCCTTGAGGTGGTTCCACCAACAACTGGCCCAGGGGTTGTGACCCTGCGCAAAGCGCAGGAATTTGCCGAGCGCGCCCTTGGTCCTAGGGCCCCGCTCGGGGAGTTGAAGGCGGCCGCCGTGGTGCGCGTAAGGGTTCCGGAGAACCTCTTGGCACCACGCGAGTGGCGGCCGCCACTCCGACGCGCCGCCGGTGGCGCCGCGCAGAGCGCGCAACACCACCAGAGGTGCGCCCAAAAGCCGATTTTTAACGAATTATTGTATACAAATATTACAAACAGGATGTGGACTGCTACACTCGGCTCTCGACTTGTACGCTCCCTAGTGGTTCTACTAGTGTGTGCCTTAGACGCTAGAGCCGACGCCAAATTGTGGTGAGCACGTCAGTGCACAGACGACGCGGCTCGCATCCCTTCTCGCGCACCCTCAATCTAATCCAGGCGATTGCATTGCACCGTACGAGCCTCCAATTGAGAGAAACGGCGCCGTTCAAGGCCTTCGATGCATCAGACAAGCAAGTCGCGCAGCCGCTGTCCTTGCCCCTGGACAGCTGCGTCATCTGGGTGCGCCTGCAGCGCCGCTGTCGCCGCCTCGGGCACGCGTGCAGTCAGAGCCCGGCGGGTGGGAGAATCTGTGTCGTCTGATGTGTCACTGTGTACGTCACATCGGTCTTGATAACAAGCACGGTCGATCCGTCGAAGCGATACACTCGTTCCTATCTCGCTGGAGGGCTGGCACGGAGGCAGCTCTGTGCCGACAAACAGGAAGAGCCGAGCGGCAAGAAGGGCTCGATGGGGAGTTAGAACCGACAAAGGTGCTCACGGAGGTTTCGGAAATCCACCCTGATGCGGTCGGTTCCCCCCAGGTTTGACCGCGCAGCTCGCAAGACTCGTCGAGCACTCGCAGCCTCTCTGCGCCTCTCATGCTGCCGAGCTGCGGGAAGTTCAGTCTTTCCGGAAGATATCGTCGAATTTTGAAAGCTGGCGGTCAACCTGGGGGGAAATAAGAGCGTCACGACGGACTTCAGGTCACACCTGAAGCTCTTCTGACGCTTCTCGCTCCCCATCGAGCCCTTCTTGCCGCTCGGCTCTTCCTGTTTGTCGGCACAGAGCTCCGTGCCAGCCCTCCAGCGAGATAGGAACGAGTGTATCGCTTTGACGGATTGACCGTGCTTGTTATCAAGACCGATGTGACGTACACAGTGACACATCAGACGACACAGATTCTCCCACCCGCCGGGCCGCCAAAACGCTCTCGACGAGAGCGACAAGAAGCCGTCCGCACAGCTGCTCGGACATTACCGATCATGATGAGCGGCGAAGGAGTGCTCCGCTGGGTCACGCCACGGGGGCCCCCCGCCGCCTCAGTCAGTTGCGACTTTCGGATGCGGTAGGGCTCGCACGAGCGCCTGTTCAGTCTGCGCTAGACCGAACTGGGGGCGGGCCCTGCTATATAAAATTGAGGTTGGGTAGAGAACGGGGCCCGGCGCCCATGGGGCGCCGCATATGCTGCGGGACCTCTACGGCTGGACGCGTACAGGTACTCCCTGGAGTACCCTTTAGTTTGCCCGAAGATTACCGACCAAAACTCAAGAGCGGCTGCAATGACTTCATCTGTGTTCTTGCCCCTGCTCGCCGCGGGCCGAACCGCTCAAAACACGCCGGTCGCACGGATGATCACCGCCGAGTCGGAGACCTGGTCGCCCGCAAAATGGCGGGAGATTGACCGCGCCACGAGGGCTGAAGAGGAAGCGCGGCAGGCGCGGGCGCGGCGCGGCCTCCCTCCGCTGCCGGTGACGCCGACGCACACCGTGCGGTGCGGCTCGCGCGACTGCCGCCCGGGCGAGGGCAACCTGAAGCACGCAATGGACAAGCACGGCAAGTTCAAGCAGTGGGAGCAGCCGTACGAGCACCGCGAGGGCTTTGTGCAGTCTCGGCTCCGCTCACCGCCGCACCGGCCCCGCCCGAACGTCGAGTACGCCGGCCTGGTCGCGCTGGCGGCGCGCCTCGCGCCTCGCGGCGGGCCGGTACCACTGGCGGCCGGTGCCACACGACTCCACACAGCCTGTGCAGAACCGCCCGCCGGGACTCCCGCCCGCGATAGGTGCTGTTCGCCGCGGCTGGCTGGGACTGTGAACAGCGTCGCTTCACACCCCAAGCTGTGAACAGGTGCTTCTCGCCGCGGCTGACTGGGACTACCGCGAGCTCGCCCTCAACTGGTACCTGCACGCACGGAGGCGCCGTACCTCCCCATCTCCCCATATCTCCCCACATCTCCCCACATCTCCCCACATCTCCCCACATCTCCCCACATCTCCCCACATCTCCCCACATCTCCCCACATCTCCCCACATCTCCCCACACCTCCCCACACCTCCCCATATCTCCCCACATCTCCCCACATCTCCCCACATCTCCCCACATCAACTGGTCCCTGCACACACGCAGACTGGGCTACCGCGGCGCGCTCGTCCTCTCGATGGAGCGAGCGCTGCACGAGCTGCTGCTGCGGCGGGGCGTGCCCTCCTTTGACGGCGGCGCGCTGCTGGCGGCGTGGAACCGCACCTGCCTGCAGCGCCACATCCAGGCTAATCTCGGGTAATCTCGGGTAATCTCGGGTAATCTCGCCGGAACCGCACCCGCCTGCAGCGCCACATCCAGGCGGTCCGGATGGAGAGGTGCACCTCGCCGCGGCGAGATTACCCGAGATTACCCGAGATTGCCCGAGCCAGGCGGTGCGGATGGAGAGGCACCTCGCCGCGGCGGCGCTGGTCGAGGCGCACAAGATTAGTAGTCTCGGGTAGTCTCGGGTAATCTCGGGTAATCTCGCCGCGGCGGCGCGGGTCGTGGAGGGACACGACGTGCTATTAATTAACATTATGCTGTGTCATATCATGTTTTACTCTTCCCTGGTCGAGGCGGGACACGACGTGCTTTTAATTAATATTATATATTATGCTGTGTCAGATCATGTTTACTCTTCGCTGGTCGCGAGGCGGGACACGACGTGCTGCTGACGGACGCGACGGCGGTGTTCCTCAAAGACTTTCTGCCGCGGCTGGTCGGCGCGCCCGCGGCATCTCGACCCTAGATCTCCCCACATCTCCTCATATCTCCCATATCTCCGCGAATCTCGACCCTGGAAGCGGACGCTCTCCCCATATCTCCCCTGATCTCCCCGGATCTCGACCCTAGAAGCGGACTACGGAGCATCTCTCCCTCCTGGCGCTCGAGAGAGGCACGTACTCTGCTGTACTCGTCGGTGTTCCGCGAGCACTCCCCGCCCCGACCTCGGCCGTCTTGATGACTTAGGCTACCCATATCCCCCCATATCTCCCCATATCTCCCCATATCTCCCCATATCTCCCCATATCTCCCGCCCTGAGCTCGGCCGCCTTGATGACTTAGGCTACCCATATCCCCCCATATCTCCCCATATCTCCCCATATCTCCCGCCCCGACCTCGGCCGTCTTGATGACTTAGGCTGCCCATATCTCCCCACATCTCCCCATATCTCCCCATATCTCCCGCCCCGAGCTCGGCCGCCTTGATGACGTCTCGCCTCCCTCGCCTCGGCGCACTCCCGCCGCAGGAGCTCGACGTGATCCTCCCATATCTCCCCATATCTCCCCATATCTCCCCCATATCTCCCCCATATCTCCCCATATCTCCCCATATCTCCCCATATCTCCCCATATCTCCCCCATATCTCCCCCATATCTCCCCATATCTCCCCATATCTCCCCATATCTCCCGACGCAGGAGCTCGACGTGCTCCTCCAGCGAGACGACTGGCCGCGCACAGGCGTCGGAAAAAAGAAAGAAAGAAGACACGCAGCCCAAGGGGGGGGGTGGGAGGACGGCGCACGCCGCCACCACACAGGGATGTTAAGGAGAGGAGTGTGGTGCTAGCCGCCGCCCAGCCTTGGAGGGGTGCCTGCCTCTTCCTGTCTCTCTTCGCACAGGCCTCGGCACGGCCGTCAACGCCGGCTTCGTCTTCTTGCGCGGCTCGGCCGGTGCGGGTCGGTCGCAGCTGGTGCTTCGGCTGGTCGACGATGCGGTGAGATTGCCGGAGATGACCAGAGATGACCAGAGATTAGCGGAGATGACCAGAGATTACCAGAGATTAGCGGAGATTACCAGAGATTGCCAAAGATTACCAGAGATTACCAGATATTACCCGAGATTACCCGAGATTACCCGAGATGCGGCTGGTCGACGACGTGGTGCGGCGAGGGCCCACCGAGGCCCTCCCTGTGGACAGCGCCTCTTCACACCCCGAGGTGTGGATAGCCTACCTGTGGACAGCGCCTCTTCACACCCCGAGGTGTGGATAGCCTACCTGTGGACAGCGCCTCTTCACACCCCGAGGCGTGGATAGGTGCGGCGCGGGCTCATCGAGTTCTACCTGCGGTGGAACAACATCCCCGATCAGTACGGCTACAGCCACGAGATCGCCCACACGGCGCTCGACGTCGGAGGCGGGACATCTCCCCATATCTCCCCACACCCCCACACATCTCCCCATATCTCCCCACACCTCCCCACGCCTCCCCACATCTCCCCACATCTCCCCATATCTCCCCACACCCCCACACATCTCCCCATATCTCCCCACACCTCCCCAACACTCCCCACATCTCCCCATATCTCCCCAAACCTCCCCACATCTCCCCCATATCCCCCAAAACCTTCCCACATCTTCCCCAATTTTCCCCCATACTTCCCCACACCCTCCCCA